GTGAGATCCCGCGAGATTAGCGGAGAAACCCGAGCGGCTGGAGGAGACTCGCCGGAAATAGCCGATGTGTCCCCACGCTGTAACCCCCCCCCCCCACCCCCCCTCCCTCCTGATCCAACATGGCCGCTGTGTCCAGTCTCTCCAGTGACGCTCAGCTCGGAGACTGACTCGGTTCCTCCGTCCTGAGCCTCTGGACCGCGCCGGACTTCAGCTCCACTCGGAGACTAATCGCCCGCTTCAGCTCGTCGGTGGTCCCGGTTCGTTTTAGCGGAATAACCTTCAGCCACCACCCCCTCCTCTGGGCCTTTTTACCCCAAAAACCACCGCTCCCGGGGCCATGGTTTGAGTCGGAGCTCCCGGGGTTCCTCTTCATGAACGATGTGTGAAAACTGCGCCGAGCTGGTGGAGGTTTTAAACGAGAGTAAGTGTCGCTCCGCCGGCTCCTCGGTAGCTGTTAGCCCCGCTGCAGCTGGATGAGAGCACGTTAGCATGGTGGCTAGCTGGATGTAACTTTGGTTTGTGTGTGTCCGCCTCTGGGTCCTCTCTGTGCGGCCGCAGCGCACAGGAGGCTCCGGGGTCGCGAGCGTGTGTGTGGGGGTGACAGCTCCGTGTCGGTGTCACGGGTTTGTTTTTAAGCTAAACGCTATCCCCCCCCCCTCCTCCTCCAGACTGGCAGCCAGCTCCGGGGCCTGTCTGTCAAACACTCTCTCAAGCTAGCTCCCTGAAACCCGACCACCTCCAGCCGCTGTGTGCGGGACGCGCCGCGGAGCCCCCCGGTGCGGCTCCCTGCCCACCGGGGGGCTCCGCTGCTGGGGGGTGCTCGGAGGCGGCCGCCGCCGGTGCTGAGACGCGGTTTGCGCTGGATGGTGGAAGTTAGCAGAGTTAGCATGTTGAGCTAGCGAGCAGGCTGACTTTGTTTGATGTGTTTGTCAGCTCGGGCTGCTCACGGTCCGCTCCGCCGCCTCCCCATTGTTTTGCGGATCATCGCGTCCACTCTTCAAAATGGCCTAAAAGGCTCCCGGTGATCCGCGGACTGCTCCCGCTCCTGACACCGAGGAGACGGGGGGGGGGGTGGATCTCCTCGGAGTGTCCGGGCTGGTGAATGTTAGTCGAAGCTAGCGGCGGCTCAGCTTAGCCCCGAAAATTAATGGCTGCATCGAGGCGCATATTTTGGCAGCGGGCGCTCCGTTAATCCTCGGTAGCTCGCGCGAGCCGGCAGATGTCCGGTTCGCGCTGCTGTTCCTCTCGGCTCGACGCAGACGATTCGTGCTCATCTCACCGTTTATTGTCACTATTCACCTGCGGGGCTAAATGTCAACCGGAGCCAGCGAACACAAGGTTGCAGGTCTTGCTAAAACTTAGCCGTGAGTCCAGACGTGCTAACCAGGCCCCGCTGCACTCCAGGAGTGTCCGCTGCAAGCTGGACAAAGCCTCGCAGGGTTGTGATGCAGTTTGGACCCGTGTGCACGCAGGGCTCGGTGCTGTGTGCGTGGTTTTCCCTGCCTGTGAAGTGAAAGCTCCCGCAGGCTCTGCAGGAATCCACTGGAACACTGGAGCCTGCACCTGCATCACGGCCTCACTCATTCAAACTTACAGACACGTCGAAACAGACCCAGCTCGTTCGGTCAGGTCGGTGTGTTGTCTCTCAAACTCTGTGGGACATGCAAACACTTGTGACTGAGTGATAGAGGTTCCCATTGTAAAACAAAAATACCAGGACACGTGAACGGGGTTTGGGTTCATTTGGGTTTTTCTGATACCGGTGTGAAATCGAAACGGTGCCAGAACTGATTCTTTGTCCAGAATAAAAGCACAAAAGCGACGGTCGAGGATAACATTTGTCTTATTTCTCAGACAGAGTGGAAGTCGAACATGTGAACTGTGGACAGTTTAAAGTTTACGTAACTTAAGTAAACAACATAAATAAGTGCAACACATTTTTCACTTTTAAGAAACCAAATCAAACCCAACTACAGTGAATGAACCCTAAATAACAGTCTCAGTGTTTGGTACAGTTCTTCAGTGGGGTCCAGGGACACCCACACTGATGGACTTGACATGGGGTCACGCAACAGGTCAAGCACAGCTCGTCCCTCTGGTTTCAAATGTTTCCCGTTGTTCCTCCCTTCCCTCTTCTTCTCTGGTTTAATTGGTCGCAGACAACACGGTGCACACTGCCACCGTCTCTACGAGCGGCAGCAGCTGCCAGGTCCTGGCTCTCGGTTCCTCTGCTCTCTGACATTTGCTGCACGTCTCAGTCTCAACACTTTGTTGTCGTGTAGACTTGAGTCTGAAGTAGCTTCCAGCTAACTGCAGGCTAACGTTAGGGTCTGCCATGCGTGTTTCCCACAGAGTGAATTATGATGTTAGTTAGACACGTGCAGTGATGTTTACGTTGCCTGTAAGCGGAGCAACTATTTCAGTTCAGAGCTTAGTCACCGAGCTCTGTGTTGTGATTTGGCCTGGTAGTTAGCGGCTGTGTCTGATTGGCACTGGATTTCTGTACCAAACCCTACACATGATCATTACATGCTCTGCTAATGTTGAACGTGTCATTGTAAAACCTTGGTGCTGTCTGCTCCCATAACAGCCTCCTCTCTTCTGGGGAGGTTTCCTACACTGATTTTGAAACCTGGCTGCAGGAATTCATCCACAAGAGCATTTGTTCCCTACAGGCGACAGACACACTCAGCATTAATCTACTGCCTGGATCAGTTCATACGAGAAGCTTGTCATAGGTTAATGTTCACACACTTCACCGTCAAAACAATACGTCTTAATTACACGAATTAAAAGTTATGTTTCACGTCTGCCCACATCTTCACTTTCCTTGTTCGTGAGTCGGTTAAATGAAGTTTGACCTGAAATGCCATGGGGTCAACTGGAAGGTCATGTCGGATGCTTTCCTCCTCAGGGCGTTGCTGTGTCGTTGGACACCTTAAAGAAGTTTAATTCCAGTGCTGATATAAAACACAGCTTTTAGCTCTTTTCCACTAAATGAGCTCTGATTCTTTGGCCAGTTCCTTTTAAATTTCATGCAACTGTGGCGTCATCTCGTGGACCAGCCGTCGTTTCCACCAGTGTTACTGGAACCATTTCAATGGAGGATGTGTCATCGACAGAAAACACTGTAGAAACACCGACCATTGACCGTTAACGGTGCAGACCAGCGCAGCAGAAGAGGAGTTCTGGGTCTGGGTCAAACTGAACCATGGTTCTGTTGGTTCACAGTGAAATCACTTTGTTGGACAGTTTGTACTTTTGGACCAATCACAGGAAGTAGAGACACATTAAACAATAGAAGAGGAAGCAGCTGCAGTCTTCACCTCCGACGATATAAAGTTTGAACCAGAGGACGTTTATTTACTGCATTTATACTAGTGTGGAGTACTCTAGTACTGTGGAGTACTCTAGTACTGTGGAGTACTCTAGTACTGTGGAGTACTGCGCCTGAAGGTGCTGATGCTGCTATTGATACCATAATGAGGTTACCATGGTAACCAGATGAAGCTCTATTCATTTTCTCCATTCAAACAGAAAGACTTCTACCCCCCCCCCCAACTGAAAACATGCCCAGGTCAGACGCCGTCTACAAACCAATCAGAGTCCAGTACAGGAAGACGCAGCGACTAAATACAGGGACTGAAATCGATCATCGGCACTGAACAGATTTCCAAGTGTCGAGGTTTGATCCATGTTAATCAACGGTGCTTTTAAAGTGGAGGTTGAACGGTCGTAGTTTATCACTTATTAAAGGACAGCAGATGTTTGAGGGTTTCATGTGGTGTTGGTTTACAGTCGGTTGAAGGTTAAAAGTTTTACTTCACTGTCGTGTGACTGGGTTCTGACTCAGACTCCAGACAGAAAACTGGTGAAACCCAGTGAAAGCTGGTTTTGTTGTCGCCGACTCGATGAGGCCTGATGGGTTTAAGATTGGTTTTACAACTGAGCAGAGCGGTGGTGGGAGTTTTCCGCAGCAGGGGCCCGTCAGCTGTGACGGCTCTGTCGACGCGACTGGCGAGTCCATGTGCTGATTCTGTAGCTGACCTGTGACCTCAGGTTTGCTGCAGCAGCATGTGTGTAAGAGAAAAGAATCCCCCTTCACAACAGGGAGCTGTGCTCGGCTGGTGTTTCCCAAAACACGACTAATCCTGTTTCTAGAAATGTAAGAATTTATAATTTTCAGGGCCACGCACACAGGCAGGGTTGAAGTGACCGAAGATTCTTGATCCAACACTTTCTAAAGTACAACGATGTAATATATAGTTGAGCTGTGTATATTATATACATGACAGAACCTCGGAGTCACTGCAGAGCCGAGGAGTGTGAACCCACGTTAGAGACGTCCTCCCTCTCTTTGTATTTATATCCACGCTGAGCTGCAGCTATAAACTGGGTGTAATGTTGGCACCGGGTTCCTGTTCCCGGACGTGATCATAAAGTGAAACCAGCGAAACAGCGTCACTCAGCGGGAACGTGGCCAAATGTGCCCGGACCGACATCCCAGAACACTGACCCCTGGTCCCGAAGCCTCCGATGAGCTTCTGTTCACACGTCACCAGTGAGAAGAGTTGTGTTTGGATTCAGTGAGGAAATCCCTCTGTGTCTGCCGCCAAATTCAGGTCAGCGATTCGGTGGAGACATTGAATTCCTCCGGACTGGGTGTGACAGCGTGGATCTGGGAAGGCCACGACAATAACTGTAATTTGAGACAGAATCCGAGTGTTTGTATGAGTCACAGTTAAATCTCGTCTGATGCCGTTGTCAGTGTACACGTCTGATGATCACAAACAGAGAGAGCATTTATACGACTGGTCACATTCACTCATTCACACCAGAGTAAATAAAGATGGAGGACACGTCTCCACTTCCCCCCCGCTGGACAAAGATCAGCTCAAATAGGTCAGAGCAGTAGCGATCAGGCACGGACCTGCTCGACCGACCGTCGGTCAGTCTCGGCTGTCAGTCATTACGTCTCACCTCATTTTCATATCATCAAGTAGCTGATTAAAACCAGCCACCAGGGGGCTTTTATTTATTAAGAATAAGTTAAACTCTGCAAATAAAGCAAAATATATACAGCTGAATGAAGACATTACATTTAAAGAAGCCTATAAAACATGTTGATGCGTAAACTTGTGGTGAACCAGTAATCTCATCTTGACAGTTTGGGAAACAGAAGTTAGCTGTTGTAGCGTTTCCTTCGTCTATGGTGTGTTTTTTTCTTTTCAGTGAGATTCTTGGTTTGTCTCTTGTTGTTGTCTAACAGTTGTTCTGTATTTTGCTCCCCCTCAGTATCGGATGCAGACGGCAGTGAAGGCGGCTTCCAGCTGAAGAAAGAACATGCTCTCCGAGTGCTGGGCTACATCAGCTCCTGGACACAGAGGTGAGCGCTGTGCCTCTGACATTAGTCATGTCTGAAAGAGTTTATGTGATTAGGCTCAAGAAAAACCAAGTTTATGGCTTTGCTTACCTCGATCCTGTGAGTTGTAAGTGCATCAACCACTGCAATAAGCACCTGCAGCTCTGTCCTGCTCCAATTCACCAAATTAAAGCTGCTTTCAGACCTGAACTGAAGTTTTCTCCTGCCAGGTCCTTAGTGAAAGCTCCAGATAATGTTAGAACACAGATTATTCACAGATTAATACAAATATATCAGGAAGATGAGGAGATTCCAGAGCCTTTGGTGAAACAGGCTGACGCTGGGGTCCATGTTCTGAAAACAAAAACCTGACCTCTGCAGCAGAACTAACGTTATGTCCTGAAAGCTCCAGACTTCTGTGTTGACTCTTTTTTTCCCCTCCTTGTTTTTTCCAGGCAATGTCTCTGCTGCTTCAAGGAGTACAAGCACCTGGAGGTTTTCAACCAGCTGGTCTTCGCCCTCATTAACCTGGTCATCACCCAGATCAGCAGCCTGAGAGACCGCCTCTGCAGCATCCAGGGCCACACCCATAAAGGAGGCGCATCAGGGGGTGAGGGCGCGGGCTCTGAATGGAGCGGGGGCGAATCTGCACCCGGACCCCTCCCACAGCCGTCCTCACCCGGGGAGGACGAACCTGTGAATGTGGAGAGAGACTCTGCGGAAGAGGATGCTGACACACCCGACCTGAACCAGAATAAGACCCCGGGTCAGGGGGCCAGCCAGCAGGGTGAAGCCCAGATGGAAGCACTGGGGCCTGTGGAGAGCGGAAGTGGGTGCGGGGGAGGTAACGGCGGCGACGGGGCCGCCGGCAGCGACTGTCAGGACCCGTTCAGCTCCTGGAGCACAGAAGAGAGGGAGAAACTGCTGCTGTGTGCTGCTAAGATCTTCCAGATCCAGTTCCCCCTTTACACAGCCTACAAACACAACACACACCCCACCATAGAGGTACGGACCGGTCCCGGGCTTCAGTGTTTTTCAGAAGAATCTGTTCAATTGTTTCACAAAGCATCGACACAGTGCCCACGCCCACAGAGCAGTATCTCGACCCCTCCCTGCGGTCGCTCACTCGCTCGCGCTACGAGGTGAATTTTGAGAGTTTGGAGGCGGAGCTGATGCTCCCCTTCTTCGATTGGTCACCCTGAACGCTCCAGCCTCTCGCTCCTTTTTTCTGTAGCAGTTGTAAACAGCAGTGAGTTCAGGGCATTATACAAGTCGCTGCTTCTGTTCTCTCTATTTTCTCCAACTCTGATGATTTCTGTCTGGAATGTGGTCAGAAGACTTGAAGTGAGCGACTGGCGTGAAGGGCGAGTTCGTGCTAGTGTCAGCCTCGTGCTCGCGGAACCACAAGCCTCCTGACTAGTCTGATGTCAGATGAAAACGTTTTTAATGCCTCCTTTTCTTTTCTTTCAGGACATATCCGCTCACGAAAGCAACATCCTCGGCTCCTTCTGCGACATGAACGTAAGGAACCAGCTTCACCCTCATCTTGTGTGTTTTCTACGGAGCCGCTGCTTCTAGTTACATTTTTCTTCTCTGTCACCTGCAGCAGGAAAGAGTCCCCCAGATAAAGACCAACAATTCTATTCTAGCAGCAACGTTTGATTCACAGAATCTCCTGATAAATCTTTAAGGGGCAGATCCAGGGGCGCGGGCCAGGGGCCATTGAAATCTGATTGGCCCCTGAAGTGCCCCTTTCTGTAAACAAAAAAAACTGTCTCTTACGAACAATGTGGCCACTGATATATAAAACTGTTAAGCAGCTTTGTCCACCATTGTCCTGTGGATGCTTATTCGTCTCCGTCTGTTTTGTTATGTCGGACAATTATTCCATCATAAACCTGTTTTATCGGATTTTGCACAAACAAGCTGTCGGCCCTAAATCCCCAAATCTGCGCTGCGATTTCTTTTTTGACCTGCACCAGTCGCACACACTCATGAACGTCAATCCCATAAAGAGGCCTGATTTTTTTTTTTTTTTTTTAATTAAGATCCATTAACTATTTTCTGAGAAATCAGTGTAAATTGTTAAAGATTTTCTCATGAGGCCAAAGAAAGAAGAAGAAAAAAACATTCCTGGATCTGCACCAAAATTGCTCCCTGACCTAAACCACATCCTTCCACTGGGTTTCATGGTAATTCATCCTGTAGTGTGAAAAGAAAAAAAGAAAAGCAAAAGTCCAAACTCAGTCACTGTCGCTGCAGCTCTGAGCTGAAACGGACCTGACGTGCACGCTCTTTCCTCACTCCTGCATCTTTTCTGCTCCAGTGTTTCACGAGCGAACATAAATAAAGACATCCTGACAGCTGCTCTGAATCCACTGACGGAGACGATCTCAGATCTGACCTCAGAAACCTGACGCCAAGTCAGCGAGCTAGTATCCAAATATAAACTCGGTCTGATGTGACGTTTCTTCAATCGGCTCAGGTTGAAGTTCATCCTGTGCCCTGGACTCAGCTGACCTCTGTTTTTCGATTTTGTCGGACGAAGCGACTTCACCTCTTGTGGGAACAAATCCTCCGCTGTGGGAGTGTCTGCTAATTCCAGAGCCACGTGTCCACATCCTTTTAGCGATGTGAACGCAAGACTGTCCCGTTAAACGCATGCAATGTGGCGACAGTAGTCTCTCGCCATAGCTAACTACTGCTAACATCCACTGTCACACCCGCCCGCCGCTCCTTCCCCCTGCATCCAGGCACATTAGACAGAAACTGACACGACGAATAGATATCCGCCAGATCATTTTTGGAAACATAAAATACTTCTGGTGTGAATCACCTGGAATAGAGATGTGAAGGTGATCAGTGTAGACACATGCATATCAAATAAATGACTGTTATTAGCGGCAGCCTCGACGCACACCTGGTTCAAACAGAGGAATCTGCTGGTGTTGAGTTATGACTCACAACAGTCGGGCTCTTTTTATTGTGCACATGTCGGGGTTTTGAAGTTGAGTGTAGTTTTCTGCTTATCTGAGTATTGTCCACGTTTCCTGTCCTCTGGTTGTTTTGTCGACGCCCACATTATTATCACAGTTTGCTGAGCCTCGTGTAAAAACGTCCATAGCAACAGGAGTTCTTCGGTCGCTGCAGCTCTCGACGATCTGAGATGAAAACAAAAGAAGGAAATTAAAGTAGTACTCGTAGAATTGTGCTGAATGTGTATTGTTCTTTAACGTTGTGAGAATTTCCAAGCGAATTATTCAATTCATTGATCTTCAGGATAAAAATCTGAAATATTTAAAGCACGGATATTTCTGAGTGTGTGTAATTAAAGGTAGTTTGATTTAATTTAAGGAACGAGATGTACTCAGTGATATTGTAGTTTTTATATCATCTCTTATTTATTACTTTTACTGGTTGTCTGTTATCAACTCTGCCCCGTGAGGGAGCCTTCATGTTTCGGAGCGCACCTTTATCGTATTGATTGAAAATATAAAGAATAAATGTTGGACGATGATTTATACAAGTTAAAATACGCACTTTTAGTTTGAATCAATTCAAAACAAGGTCTGAATTTATGAACCTCAGATCTTAAAGTTTGAAATCATTTGAAAAGTCTCAAGTTTGTTGAAGTATTACGTTCAAAGCTTTAAATACGTTTAGGAAAAGCTAACGCTCATTGAATTCTTCTCTGCTCAGTCGTACACACATAAACACGTTGTGATGAAACTCCGTCTTAAAGTCGTGTATTAGTCCATGTGTCTCACATCTGCTGTCATCCCTGACCAGGACGTGGAGGTGCCGCTGCATCTGCTGCGTTACGTCTGTCTGTTCTGCGGGAAGCACGGCCTCTCCCTGATGAAGGAGTGCTTCGAGTCGGGCACGCCGGAGAGCCTCCCCTTCCCCATCGCCCACGCCTTCATCACCATCGTCTCCAACGTGAGTCCACCACGCAGACGAAGGGAACACGCTCCTGTTCAGGACTCATCTCTGAAACACGTCAGGGTCCGAACAAGGAAGTGGATAGAAATGAACATGTGTTAAATTGTTGAGTGGGTTTGGAGGGACATTGCGTTAGATTCTTTAATGGCTGTGAAACTGTTTTCCTGATGTAAAGTCTCCTCATTGCAGAGAAAGGGCGGGTTGAATGCAGATTCAATGACTTGAGTTTGATCTTGAAGATTTTACACTGTGATTATTTTTGTTTCTCTCCACAGATTCGTATATGGTTGCACATTCCCGCGGTCATGCAGCACATCATACCGTTCCGTACCTACGTAATACGGTGAGTTTACATGAAACAGATGTTTTTAACAGAGGCAGATGTCACATTGACCAAATATTTTCCATTTCTTTAACGTCCATTTAAAAGAGCCCATGTCCACCTGTAGTGGACCCCCGCTGTCCTGAAGTGACTCTGGTAATTCCAGCAGAGCACAAATTCAAAACTGTCACGTAAGGTCTCGTTTTCATGCTCGGATAAAAGAACCTAAGCCAGAACTCCAGAGAATGTCCAACGATGAAGTCCAGACATTATCTGGAGGTATTACTCGGCGCCTCTCAGGACAAACTCGGGGGGGAATGTCCACAGCCTCTGACTTGGACATTTGCATTCTCACACACAGCCCCTCCGGAGAGAAGCAGGAGATTGAGTTCAGTGCGAATCTCAAAGCAGCTTTAATGACTCAGGGAAGGATTTCTATCAGTTGGATTTGAGGGGGACACGCCCACGTGACATGTAGAACAGGACTTAATGACCCAAAAGAAAATATTTGTGTGGACTAAGGGCGTGTACACATGTTTCTCAGCTGTTTCCAACTTTTTGGAAACGAAACGAAGATGCTGTGGGGGGGGGTAGGCTGTTCTTAAAGGCCACGCACATTGTGTACGGTCCTGTAAAGTATCCGAGGGGCCGAACTCTCCAAGTGTCAGGTGAGGGGACTTTATTTGTCCCCGTAGATAGATTTGCTTGAGCTCAAACACCGCATGTATCAATATATGTATGTTTAATTATTATTATTATTCTGCCAACTCTGTGTTCGTGAGTCCCTCGTGCAGCTGTGAAGCAACAACGGGGGTTCTGTTTGTGAGGTTTCACTGCCTGTGTTTGATTTGACTGAGAAGCTGCCATTTTGTCTGACACCTTTCTCCCCTCGTCAGCCGAGGAGATGTGAGGTAAAAGTTCTGGCTCAAAAAAACAGAACTAATGAACAGGAGGGTTTAATTATTCCGTCTCGTCAGAAATCAACAGTCGTTTGTTTTCACCTTTAAATTCTTTGGAAAACCGTGAATGTCAGTGCTCCAGCCGGACGAGATGGATTTGATGTTTGCCGTCATTTGAGGCGAGGAAGTCAGACGTGGTCGATTCTGTCTGAGCTCGTTCCCTCTCCCGTTCTGTCAGTGAGAGCTCCTCACGCTCTCGTGCTCTCTCCCCCAAATACCAGAGTACCACACGTTGGTTGCTAGGAAGAGCTTCTGTCACCGTGGCAACAGTTACCAGGCCTCCAGTCAACCTCTCCTCACATGACCCTCGTAGGAGGCAGGGTGCCGGCGGAGCTGGTCATGTGATGTAGACTAAGGGCGTGTACACATGATGCTCTGCTGCTCTTCTGTCTGACTGAACCGAGGCTCAGTAAAGTGACGATTCTCATCAGGATAATTATTAATTACAACGACTCAAACATCCATCAAGCTCCTTGTTGATGTTTAGTAACTCAGTGGAGTTTATGTTAAACCTCAAAGATTCAGACGTGTTAGTTTAGTTTAGTCTCCAGCAGCTTCCCTCTGTGGCATCGTGCTTTCTGTCCATCCGTCACATTCTTGCGAACACGATATCTTTTTTTTTCAAATTTGACACAAACGTTCACTTGGACTCGAGCGTGAATTTGTTTTGGTTGTTAAAGGTCAAAGGTCGCCATGACCTCACAAACCTGGTTTAGCCTCTTAAACACGAAATCTCGAGTCTTATGGGAATTTCTTAATGTGATTCGATATCAGTGGTCAAAGGTCACAGTTATCTCAGTCTGTCGTTCCAATCAAGAAAAAGACACTTGTTGGAATCCAAGTCAACTCTGGACGCCGTCTCATCTGCAGGTACCTGTGTAAGCTGTCGGACCAGGAGCTGCGGCAGAGCGCGGCACGCAACATGGCCGACCTGATGTGGAGCACGGTGAAGGAGCCGCTGGACAGCGCGCTGTGCTTCGACAAGGAGAGCCTGGACCTCGCCTTCAAATACTTCATGTCCCCCACGCTCACCATGAGGCTGGCCGGACTCAGCCAAATCACTGTGAGTCACACTCACAGTCACCGCCTCAGCGTCGCTTCAGGCCGTGTGGGTGTTCACTGGACTCCTCGCAGCAGCAGCAGCATGGAAACATCTGTTAGTCTCTGTTTCCAAACCGTCAACACAGAAGCAGCCTCACTTTATTGTTCTGTTAACTTTCAGCTGCACTTTTCCTTTCTCTGCAAACTCAGCAGTTTCTAGTGGTGGAGAAAATATCAAAATAATGAAGTATTTCTAACAAATACATTACACACTTGTAGTAGTTCGTGTTAATTATGTTATTCAGTGACACGAGGATTTATTTTCCTTGTTCAGATTTTAACGCTTCAAAACTTTTAATTAATCAGACCTGTGATTATATATTAACATTGTGTTTTACAACCTGGAGAAATCTGTACTTTTAATCAATGTAATGGTGCATTTCATTTGACCGCCTGTTGGTGGCGTCATATCCCCTCTGTGCACAGCGAAAAAACAACAGTAGCTGTGTCTTATGAAGACTGATGCTGTGTTCACTGAATGTTCTTAACAATCAGTGATAATTATTCTTATTTCTTGATGTATTGTCTGTTGACACATCGTGTGCATGTATGTTTGATTTCCCAGAATCAGCTCCACACGTTCAATGACGTCTGCAACAACGAGTCCCTGGTGTCCGACACAGAAACGTAAGTTTGCTGAAAGGGATCATGAACACGAGGTGTGTCTATGTTGAAGAGTAATTCAATCAACATAATCAAAGCTGGTATTTTACTATGTCAAAATAAAACAATATTACACTATTGGTATTTCACTGAGATCCACAAACTCGTGTTCATTTTTCTCAGATGGTCTAAACAACATTTTTTATAATAATGAACTTTATTATCAGGATTAAAACATTTCAGGACCCGAGGATTTAGTTTCAGTTAAGATCTGAGAAAGATTCTGGAGGGTGTTAACTTTTTCAAATACAAACGTCATGACTTGTCACGAACTGTTGACTCTACGTTAACGTTAGTCCAGACAGTTTGAAACACGAGGTAATGTAGATTGTTTTTATAAATGTGTTAATAAATGTAATATTAAACCAAACTCTCTGTCACTGGTGTGTGTTCAGCCCGTTTTAACCTGAACTCACTGTGATTCTGCTTCCTGCTTCCAGGTCCATAGCAAAGGAACTCGCCGACTGGTTGATTCACAACAATGTGGTGGAGCACATATTTGGACCCAATTTGCACATTGAGGTGAGACCAGTGATGTGGCATATCTGTAAAAGTCTTTTTGTTGTGTTCTTACTTTATATTTTCAAACCTGCAGAAATCTGTAGTTTTAATCAAGGTAACGGTGCGTTTCATTCGATCGCCTGTTGGTGGCGTCATATCCTCTTTGTGCGTGTGTCTGCATTTATCTGCCAGAAGAGTCAAAAGCGACTTTTCATCCAGTTTTAAAATCAAATTTTTCCAAACACTTTTTCGATCTTGGTGGTTTTTTAACTTTGAAGCAGATGAAGGATTTTGTTGTCGGACGTCTGGATCTGAGGTTTTCAGAGAAACGAGCTGAGCGAGCGTTAGCGGCAGCTCGACTCATCAGAGACGAGTCAGAGAGACACTGAGTTTAACATGAAGCTGCTTCGTTCACTGTTTTTACTGGAGTGAATCAGATGTTTGTCTGTTTTGGAGGAGGAGACGTCTGAGGACAATCCAGATAAAAACTCCTCAACCATCAACACTGAAGGAATCTAACCGGGAGAAGACTACAACTCCCATCATCCCTCACTGCGTCACCATGTCAACAAAGAATATGACATTGACAAGAGTGTGTGTGTGTGTGT